ACACTGCTGCTACCATTTCAATGGCTCCCTCTTCCCTTGAGAATAAAGTACAAGTTATGTGAAATGGTTTGAGTCCTTCTGTGATCTGGCCCCTACTTATTCTTTAACTCACTGGTTGTCAACGGGGGACACTTTTGACTCTCCCCCCCAGAAAAAAGATATTTGGCAATGTCTGGAGACATTTTTGGTTGTCATAACTGCGGGGTGCTACTGGCGTCTAGTAGATAGAGTCCAGGATGCTGCTAAGCATCCTACAATGCATAGGAAGTCCCCCACAAAGAATGATCTGGACCAGAATGTCAGTAGTGCTGCGGTTGAGAGTCTAGCCATTTCTCTCATAAGCCTTTGTCACACTCAGAGTCCTGGCCATGCGGAAAGGCCCTGTTCTCCTAGCCTCTGAGCCTTGTACTTGCTAATCCCCCACCCAGAACCCTCCTTCCTCTTCCTACTCTTCCCCGCTGCTGACTCTGTTCTTTGCCTAGACGGGGTCTTGAGGCAAATTAATTTTTAACCTTTACAAGATGGAGTTCATATATTTGGGCAGTTTAGAGTTTATAAAGGTAACTTAAGTTTCTACCTCACACTGAAAGTAACTTCCATACACAAACGTATTTTTCATGTCATTTTTTTAGAGGAATAATGCTGCTGTTACTGGAGGACTACAGTATTACTTCTATTAATCCAATCACAGAGAATAAATGGGGTGAATTAATAAAACAGCACCTATGCAGTTAGAGCCTATAGCCATCAAGTTAAACTTTCTCAATTCTTAGATATGATTTGGGATGTTTCAACACATACTAATGAATTACAATTTTTTTGTTTTTCATGTTTTGTGCCAGATTAAAATACTTCCTTTTTTTTTTTTTCCCATTTTTAATGATTAATACACGAGGCGGCTCTTTTACATTGCATCAGAAATTATGTGATGCCTTTAAAGAACAAAAGTGAGATTGGGGGAATTTATTAGGAGAGCTTGCCAATTCATGTTATAATATTTGAATACCATAAATAGGAAGTTGCTCCCGGTGTTGCTTTTGAATTGACATTCTACCTTTACTCCACTCGGGAGACAAAGCTTTGTGGCCCTGCTTTTGTCCTTCCCCAGCATTCCCAGTATTGCTGACAAAGGACGGTACTTCCAAGTCCTGGGATTTGTAAAGACCCCCCACAGGATTACAAAGTTATATAGATTTTAATATCTATGAGCAATAGAATCACAGCCCACTCATTTGTTTTAAAACTACAATTTGCATTTTATGAATTTTAAATCACAAAGACGACTTTTAAATAATTGTGTTCACATAATGCTCTACTTGCATGCTGGTGAGTTTGTAGCTTATGATATTAATTAACACTGCTTTTATTGCATCTTCTTTTTTTCAAATCAAGAGGTTCATGCACTGATTATTTTTTAAAAGCTTTCCAAAAAACAAAAGAGTTTAAATAACTTTAAAGGTGAAAAATATTCTCTCTGCCATCACATATTTTACTGTGTTTCTAGCACTGTAGAATTTCTTTTCTTTTTTCTGTGTTCTAACTTGGTAAAGGCAGATATTGGCTTTGAAATAGTTAAGAAATCTTTTAGCTTATCCATAGCTCTATCTGAAATTTATGCATCAGCCTTGCTCAGAAACCCCACCCAGGCACCTGCACATTTTCCTAACCCCTCTATTCAGAACTCCAGCTCCAGGTGGATTCTCCAGGCCTGCCTTTCCATCTCTCTCTCACCTCTAGCCTTACTTACCTCTATAGTTTTCTATAGTTCTTTACTCGTTTTCTACCACGGATATTTACTGAACCCCTATTCACGTAGTGAGCTCTGTTATAAAGGATAGGGATATGCTGGTAAAGAAAGGTGATCCCTTAGGAGCAACAGATTCGTAAGTAATTACATTTAATTGTGTGTGATAAATCCTGTAATAGAGAGAGGGACAAAGTACACTGGTGGCATAGGATTTCTAAAAAGTCACTTCTGCTGGGGGATTGTAGAAGGCTTAGGAGAGCCTGGAATATTTGAACTGGACTCCTAGATAGAAAGAGGGCAGGGAGAGGGGGAGCTGGGGGTGAGAGTCCAGGTGGAAGGAATAGAATGACTTTGTTGCAAGCATTCTTGGTCCAGAGACTTGCTGGTCATCTTCATTTCCTGCTTCCTCCCTCCTAGGTGGTGTAACCAAAAGTATTATGAGATAATCCTGCCATCAGCTATAATATTATACTGCATTTTGAAGAGATAATTTGAGTTAAGATTTCCACTCAAAAGAAATAATGAGCCACCTAAGATAGAAGGCCATTAGGGAGGTGTCTGGCTATATTTGGCTTTTCACATCTTTGAGTAGACCTAAATCTATTCTGGAGGTCATGAACATCTCTTTATCTTTCTTAGTTCTTTCCTTCTTACCTCAAGACTTACTATAAACAAAAAGCTGCTTTGTTGAGGTATTTTTATTTTGGAGAGTGTTATTTTTCTCAAAATTGATTTACTTGTGGCCAAGGGGAAAAACTGAAGAGGGAGCTATCATAGAGATTGTATTTCTGAAGAGGTTCAAACTCTAGAAAGAAAATTACTGTAGAAAGAAGCCGTCTAGCTAAGAGTCTTTTTGTCCTTGAATTTCATCCTCAAGAACACTTATCTTGGAAAATGACTTGACTGGTCAAAGGAATCATTATAGAAAGAAGCTGATAACAGGCATCAGGTTAAAACATTTCAAGTTATGACTAGGATAAAAGAAACGATAGCTGGGGCCAGCCTAATGGTTAAGTTCAGCACACTCTGCTTCGGCAGCCTGGGTTCGGTTCCTGGGTATGGACCTACACCACTAGTCAGCGGCCATGCTCTGGCGGTGACCCACATACAAAATAGAGGAAGATTGGCACAGATGTTAGCTCAGGGCCAATCCTCCTCGGCAAAAAAAAAAAAAAAGAAAGAAATGATAGCTATCAGAAGTTGGTCTTTTAAAAGGATTCCTCAAAGATGTTGGCCACTATTAAACAAAGATCATTTTAAAAATTCTAGTTTTGAATTTGAAAAATGGTGACCATAAATCTGACTGCCAGTGTGGAGAGAACTCATGTATGTGGTGCTCTTATCGTTTCGTGTGTCACGGAGCTTGTGACTCTGTACCATCTACACAGGGTGCCTGGTCCCTGCTGGAGTGCCAGCACATCACACTAAAATGGGACTGCCAAACTCCACTAATTGCCATAGTTTCCCACCCCACTCCTTTGCTGATTGTTCCTCTCTTCCTGGACTGCAGTTCAGTGGCAGGAAGAATGAGAATAGCTTTTCAAGTTTTGAATATAAAATATTCGTTTTGTCAAGATTCAATATTCTGAAACTGAAGTCTTTTTTTTTTTTTTGCTTACCATGAGGGGGCTGCATGTACCAAGAGCCCCACTAGGGGAGAGCATATTGCTATTTTAGAAGGAGAGGAGAGCTTTGAGGAATCATTACATGGTCAGAATTCTGTTAATAATTGGGGAGAAAGTGCCATTATTTTTATTTGGACTTTTGTAGTTTATTGGGTTTATTAGGGTATAAATTTCATCAGATGCAAAGTTTATGTCTCCTTAAAAACTTGAAAGAGGGACTGGCCTGGTGGTATAGTGGTTAATTTCACGTGTTCCGCTTTGGCGGCCTAGGGTTCCACGATTTGGATCCTGGGCAAGGACCTACTCACCACTCATCAGGCCATGCTGAGGCGCCATCCCACATAGAAGAACTAGAAGGACCTACAACTAGAATATACAACTGTGTATTGGGGCTTTGGGGAGAAAAAAGAAAAAGAGAAAGATTGGCAACAGATGTAAGCTCAGTGCCAATGTTCCTCAAAAAAAAAAGTTAAAATTACTTTAAAAATATTAAAAAAAAAACTTGAAAGAAAGTTCATAAGACTGACCAGAGAAATGCAGAGGAAGGTAAGATATGCTGATGCCGTGTTGTACGAGCTAGTATTTTACTGCTTTAATTAACAGTCTGATTTGTGCGTTGGTCAAAATTTGTCATTTTAAGGACATTTAAGATATAGTCACGTGCCACATAACTACATTTTAGTTAACACCAGACTACATATACCACGGTGGTCCCGTAAGATTAGTACCAGTATAGCCTAGCTGCGTAGTAGGCTGTACCATTTAGGTTTGTGTAAGTACACTCTATGATGTTCACCAGATGATGAAATTGCATAACAACGCATTTCTCAGAATCCGTCCTCATTAAGCAACATGTGACTGTATCTTCATTTTAATAGAAGGCCACCTTTCTACTTGAGAGGTCTTCTTTAATCAGGAGTCTCAATCACCAGCTTTTGTTTGGCATGAGAAAGAAGTAACAGCCTCCCCCTGTGAGTTTTTACTGTTAGACTAGCTCACAGTCAGCCCTTCCCCTTGTTGTCAAGCTCCTGTGACTTCCCCACAGTTGTGGGTCATGTGGGTCACAGAAGCCCCACTTCTCCAGCAGATGCAAGGAAATGGTTCAGGAAGCCATTGGGAAACAAAGCACGTGCACCTTACTTTTCCTGTAGGGATACAGTACAGAAAATTTAACCTTATTTTCATCTGTACTTAATGGAAGTATTTTTACTTGGCATTATGTAGTAAAAATAGAAAATCAATAATCCCAGGGATCTGGGTTGGCCCATTATACGTATTAAATATTGAAGAGACTTCACGTTTGTGAAACCTGAACTCCAGAATTCGTTTGCTAGAGAAGCCCTTTTACCACCCCAGGCTAGGGACATCAGAAGTACCTCGTGGAGGCCTTTGTGAGGCCACGCGAGTCGGGCCCGCCTTACGCAGCCGCAGTAGCACAGTAGCGGGCTGAGGTACCGTTCAAAGTTCCCGGCGTGCGCAGACTCAGTAGCGGGCTGAGGGGAGGCCACGGCTTTGCGCAGACGCAGTGGCGGGCTGAGGCGGGGCCAACGGTCGCGGGCTCCGTTTCTTCGCGCCTCGGAGCTTGCGGGCGGGTTTCGTCTTTACTCTTCCTCTACCTCCTAAGTGAGTGGCCATGAGCTGGGCTGTGGGAGTCCTGAGGCCCAGCCGGAGAGTGAGCGCTGTGAGAGCGAATTTCCTGTCTCCGGGGATGGCGCCGAGTCCCCGCCAGGCGGCGGGCAGCCCCCTCGGGAGGGCCGGGCCCATCACCCCCGTGTCCAAGATGGCGACCGTCAGGTCTGAGCTTCTGAAGAACTTGGCCTCGGAGGAGGCCGTTCACCGCAGTAAGGTCTCCATTGTGGGAACCGGCGCGGTTGGCATGGCCTGTGCTGTCAGCATCCTGTTGAAGGGCCTGAGTGATGAACTTGCCCTAGTGGACCTGGATGAGGGCAGGCTGAGGGGGGAGACGATGGATCTTCTGCACGGCAGTCCTTTCCTGAAGATGCCGCATGTTGTGTCCAGCAAAGATTACCTCGTCACTGCCAACTCCAGCCTCGTGATTATCACGGCAGGGGCGCGCCAGGAACCAGGAGAGTCGCGCCTTAATTTAGTCCAGCGGAACGTGAGCATCTTTAAGTTGATAATCTCCAACGTTATCCAGTACAGCCCTCGCTGCAAGCTGATTGTGGTTTCCAATCCGGTGGATATCTTAAGTTACGTAGCCTGGAAGTTGAGTGCATTTCCCCAAAGCCGTGTTATTGGAAGTGGTTGTAACCTGGACACTGCCCGTTTCCGTTTCTTGATTGGGCAGAGGCTCGGGATCCACCCCGAAAGCTGCCATGGGTGGATCCTGGGAGAGCACGGAGACTCCAGTGTCCCTGTGTGGAGTGGAGTGAACATCGCTGGGGTCTCTCTGAAGGATCTGAACAGAGATATAGGCACTGACAAAGATCCTGAGCAGTGGGAAAGTGTCCACAAGGACGTGATTGCCAGCGCCTATAAGATCATTAAAATGAAAGGTTATACTTCCTGGGCCATTGGCCTCTCTGTAGCCGATTTATCCGAAAGTGTTTTGAAGGATCTTAGGAGAGTGCATCCAGTTTCCACCGTAATTAAGGGTCTCTATGGAATAAATGAAGAAGTGTTCCTCAGCGTTCCTTGTGTCCTGGGAGAGAGTGGCATTACAGACCTTATAAGGGTAAAGCTGACCCCTGAAGAAGAGGCTCGTCTGAAGAAGAGTGCGGAAACGCTGTGGGAGATTCAGAAGGAGCTCCAGCTTTAAAGTTGTTTAAAACTACCGTTCTGAGGTTGTTGAAGAAGAGAGAGTAGTTATGGGGTTGTATATGTCAAATTCTGAATAAGCTTGAGTTTCTAAAGTTGGAAACAGGAAAGCGGGTAGAGCGACTCTCCTGTTGATTTAGCCCCCCAGCTCTTTTATTTAGCATCCAGATGCTGGATGATGCTTATTATTTTATAATTCCTAGGTGCATCAAAGAAGGTGTTTTTGTACCACTGATGTACCGGTACTTGCTTTGTCTATATGTGTAGTTGCTGTTTGGCCCAAAAGAATGTAGGATGTGGGTGTTTATTGTGTTATAGAAATTCTGATTCTTTTCATTAAGTACATGTTAATTCTTTTGTTCTGGCTGGCTTATACCTATGTTCGCTTATATACTATTTTTAAAAAGTTATAACTTCTTCCACAATGTAAAAATAAATGTGCACACAGAAGTACTTTCTGTAATGGAGCCATTGACTGCCTTCATTTCTCTGTGACAACCTATCAGCTGGGCCTTTTAAAAAGCATTATAAAGGGAGCTGCAAGTCGGGTGTGTGTGCGCACACACACACTCATGTACACATGCTAGTGAAGCAGGATCATTAGGTTAAAATATGAAAATAATAGTGTTCTGGTTGGTAGCTGTTATAAAGTGTTTCATGCAGTAAAATACAAGCTTTTAGAAACCTGACAGTCAGAGGTGGTACAGTTACTGTCATTTATTTGGCAGAGAAAGGAAACGTCCCTAAATTTTGCAGTTACCGAAAATAAAGCCTGAGTGAAATCATTTTAGAATTGCCTCTGAGAACCTGACCTGTTAGCACATTAAGTCAAGAATCATGTAATAAATTGTTCTTATTGGGCTGGGTCTTAGCAGCAGAGTGGACCCTGGCCCTAACACGCTCCAGGGTCATCCCTGTTACTCAGTTTACTTTACATCAGCAGAAAGCTTTTAGTTTTGAATTGTGCCCTGTTGTTAATCGCTGTCATAAAACTTGGCCATTTTAATGAGTACTTCAGCGATTGTATATCTCAGAAAGTTACACAGTCACTTTTTATTCCTAAATCAATTGACTTTACTACAGATTCTAGACTTTATTCATGTGATACAGTGGGGGTTTAGGAGAAAGTGAAGATGCTTTTCTGAGTTTTACCTAAATGATAGTCCTAATAACTTAGAAAATGAGAAGCTGAGATTATTTTACTCATGTTAGCCTTCCTAATGCAGTTGAATATTAAATAATATGGTATATTCAACCTTATCTGAGGATCCATGGGAATATCAATGGGCCTAATCAAAATTGAAAGGTACCAGCATCTGCTCTCTAAATTAAGCCAGTCCTGCTTAGTTGAATTTTATGAAGGAGACATAGGACAGTAATCCAGCCAAAAAAACGACCCTTTACCGTGCTGACCAGAGCTCCCATACTATTTTCGTTGAAACCATCTAGAAATTGTTCTGATTACTCAGGAAGCAGTGTCATGTAATGGGACTAATTGATGTGCTGAGCTCCCTGAAAGTGGGAAGAGCGGTGGTTCAGTTGTTCCAGGTGGTTCTAAGAGCTTTTTAAGCTTAACTCACCAAGTTCCTCTTCCCTTTTGTCCAACCCTTGAGTTTTTATTCAGCCGTGTTTCGGCCAAGTTCAATGTAATATTGTAGAGGATCAGAACATGTCTTATGTCTATTTTGTAATTCTCTTTACCATCAATGTCAGTCAGGATAGGCTGGGTTGTACTACAGTGAAAAATAATCTCCAAGTGTGTGGCTTAAAATAACAAAGGTTTGTTTCTGTCATAAATGCACTATGGGTTTACATGACTCTCGAGGGAAGCTGTCCTCCACAAGCTGGCTCCATAGCCCAGGTTGGTTTGATCTTGAGGCACCACCATAGCAACATAGGTTTCCCTGATTGCTATGGGAAGGGAAGAGAGGCCTGGAGAGTCAAATACCTGCAATTAAATGCTTCACTCTGGAAGTGACGCACATTTCTTTTGCACACATTTCGTTAGCTGCAGCTAGTTACATGGTTACCTAACTTCAAGAGAGTGAAGAAGTATAACACCCTTGTATCCAGAAGTAGATGAGTACTGGCCATTGGTGGACATGGGTGATAATCCACCATACCATTCTAAATAAAATGGTCACCATTGCGAGAGGTATATATTTTATGCTTTTAAAGTCATTTTTAGTGAAAGCTGGTACGTGAGTAGAGGTTATAGAAGTACTGTTTTTCCAAGTCACAAAACCAGAGTGGCCATGTATGGGGACAGAGCCCTGGACATCAGTCAGACAATTGTACTTATAAACCGTGTTACCATGGATGGTAACCTCTCTGACCTCAGGTTTCTCATATGGAAAGTGGTAGTCCTCATTTATGCCCCTAGAATTGTGAAGACTAAATAATAGCCTAATGCTTGGTACAGTGCCTGGCACATAGGTGATCTCAAATGGCATTATTATTCCTGTTCAGGTAACATTTATAGTCTTACTCTGTTTTATTTTATGAAGAACTCGCATTTTTAGGTTCTTCAAAATTACTGCTGGCACTGTAATTATTGACATATCCTAAGGCTTTCTCATTAGTTGGTCCTGAAAGCTTTCATCATTCTAAGCCAGCACCGAGGCTGCAGCAGACCTGCACCTGCAGCTGAGGAAATTGAAGCTAAATGAGCTAGTCAATGGCAAAGACATTTTAAAACTTGGAGCTTTTAATTCCAGTAACTGCCTATTTATTAGAATAGATGCTGTAAGGCTTTTCTCAAATTAATTAAATTGGGGACATATTCTGAGCTTTTAAGTAATTTTTCAGCATACTATACATTAGACCAAAAGTTTTCATGTTCTTTCGCTGCCACGACATGCATGGTAAATGTGCAGCAATATCCCCTTTCACTCCTGGCATACTGGCTACATAGCCCTTCAAAGAGCTGTTGCGGTATGAATGAGAGTAACGTTAGAAACATAATCTTGAATCTGTCCTAATATCTAAAAAGTCAATTGTAGCCAATCTTCAGAATGTCCATATTGGTGACAAATTATTTGTAATACATTTCCCAATTGTCATGATACTCTGTTTGAGAACTGCTGCCTTAGACAGTGGTACTTTTCTGATAATATTACAGCCCAGCACTGTTGGGCACAAACATTCGAGGTTCTTGGATGGGAGGCTAAGGATGAGGTTCTTGGAGCAGTGGGCTCGTTGCCTAGGGTATGCCATTGGCGTCATAGTCTTCATGGAGAGCAGCCCCGGGAGCTGTGCAGTACGCAGTGGCCCTGCTTTGAAGGGGAGCCCTGTGATCCACAGCCATGGAAAAATTCCCCCTGGTCAGAGGAAAGAGGGAAGAGGAGGACTGCAAGGAAGAGATCCCAGCATTTGGGAAATCCTTCAGAGTAAAACTGAGTTGCTAGATGGAGACTCTAGTTCCCAGCATTCCCCATCTTCACCAAACTTTTGGGGTATAAGGTAGGGAGATGGCTCCATGGCAATAGCGGTGATTGTATTGTGGAATTCAGTACATTTATCTTATAACAAAATTCGCTTAAATGTACTCAACCCCTGAATCTTTTTTCAAGTACATTTTTAAGTAGGGGAATGTTCTGTTGGCCTGTGATAGAGTATCACTAAGACCAACACGTTCTCTGAACTGCGTATCAGAAACTGATACAGGTGAGAAAACTGAAGGTTTCATTTCCTATCCCTATACCGGTGGTGTAGCAGTTGGGTTTGTGTGTTCTGCTTCGGTGGCCTGGTGTTCGCTGATTCGGATCCCGGGCGCGGACCTGCTCACTGCTCATCAAGCCATGCGGAGGCAGCATCCCACATAGAAGAGCCACAACTGTACAACTATGATACACAACTGTGTACTGGGGCTTTGGGGAGAAAAAGAAAAAAAAAAAAGGAAAATTGGCAACAGATGTTAGCACAGGGCCAATTTTCCTTAAAAATAACCTTCTATGGGGCCGGCCCTGTGGCTTGGTGGTTAAGTGCGCGCGCTGCGATGCTGGTGGCCCGGGTTCGGATCCCGGGTGCGCATCGAGGCACCACTTCTCCGTTCATCCTGAGGCCGAGTCCCACATACAGCAACTAGAAGGATGTGCAGCTACGACATACAACTATCCACTGGGGCTTTGGGGGGAAAAAATAAATAAATAAAATCTTTAAAAAAAAAAAATAAAAGAAATTGCCAAACTGGGGCCGGCCCCGTGGCTTGGTGGTTGAGTGCACGCGCTCCGATGCTGGTGGCCCGGGTTCGGATCCCGGGCGCGCACCGAGGCACCACTTCTCCGTCCATCCTGAGGCCGAATCCCACATACAGCAACTAGAAGGATGTGCAGCTGTGACATACAACTATCTACTGGGGCTTTGGGGGGAAAAAATAAATAAATAAAATCTTTAAAAAATAAAAATAAAAAAAAAAAATAACCTTCTATGGAGCATCATTGTTTAACACAACTTGAAGCTCTGTTTATAACTTGATGTAGACTCTGGGTTTCCATTTCCACGGCTGTAAAATTACAGAAGAGGGCTACATGGTGGTCTTCATCCCACTTGCCACCCTTCTTTTACCTCACTCTGTAGCCTGTCTGTTCCTAGTTGGCTATTTTTCAGATGCGATTCCTTCTGATAGTTCAGTTACTCACTTATGACCCTGGAAACAAGTAAATAATACAATACTTGGGAAAGGAGAGGAAAAAAAAAAATCAGGCTAAGAGGAGGCAATGGGAACATAACCCCACATGCTGAAGTAGGAGCAGCTGCCTTTTCCTCTCCTGCCCGGGCCGTGTCTGCATCTCCCAGCCTCTCCCTTCTCAGTGACTGACCGTGTTCCAGATCACTGAGAAGGTGGGATGTGAAATGATCCTGTTCATGACCTGGCTATCTGATACCCCACTTGAAAACTCTGTCATTAGGCTTTGTTGTAACAGATGTTCAACCAGAAAGGTGAAGGGAAAGAACCAGGCAGCACATTGCAAGCCCTGGCCAGAGATGTCTTTCAACTGAGAAGGTCTGTGCATGGTTCCTCAACGGAGACACTACTGGTATTTTAGAGAAAGCAGTTCTTTTTGTGGGCCATCCTAGACGTTTAGCATCTGTGCCCCACCCCCAAATGTAAATAGTAGTCCCCTGTGATTGTCACAGCCAAGTTGTCATGACACTCTATTTGAGAACTGCTATTTGGAACTATATTTCCAGTCCCTCCCCGGGGATGCAGCACTGCCTTGGGCTGAGAACATCTCAGGAAGGGGTCATCACAGTACCAACCAGAGAGCTGCGTGCAGGAGGGCTTGGGGAGAGAGACACATGCAGTGGACGTGTGTGTCTTCAGCATTGGTGTCTGGGACCCAAACGTTGAGATGGTTGGCATGGACCTCCTACAGACTACATGTAATGTGTAACCTTACGTACGTTCCAGTGTCAGAATATCTAAACCAACACGCCTGTAACTAGAAAGTAATGCTTTAACAAACACACCATAATATTTACATCCATATGAGCTTTGTTCTTGGAACACAACACATATTTTGATGATGCTGTAATGACAGTGGCTAATATATATTGAGCACTCCCATGTGTGAGGTGCTGTGCTTTGTGTGCACTATCTTCTCACTTCATCCTTACAGCCCTGTAAGCAGGTAATCATCTCCTTTCTACACATGTGGAAACTACTGCCTAGGGAGAGTAAGCAGCTTTCCCAAGTAGTGGAGTTAGGATCTGAACAGAGAGGTCTCTCTCATACCAGAATCTGTGCTGCTAACAGCAGTGCCACATGACTGGAGTAAGTGCTCAGGAATCTACGAGTCCCAAACAAGACGCACCCCCTGAATTTGGAAACAAGGTAAGGCTTCAGCTTCAAATTGAAATAAGTAAGCATCAACATAAAAAAACATTAGCCGATTCTCAAAATAACCACTCCAAGAAATGACTTGCCTGTTGCTGATGAGACCAGGGTGCTTCACAGATTCAATTGAGAGCTGTGTCCTTGAGAAATACAGCTGGAATGTGGCTGATGAGAACATTATATCTCTGTGCCGTAGTGCTTCTGAAGTATCTTCATAACAGGACTGTAGAGATGGAAAAGAATGAACCAAAGAATGTGTAGCTTGTACACTCTAATGTAAAGATCATCCAACTCCCATAAGGCAGCACCCTTAGGGTGGTTTGCACCTTAGCTGGAGCCAGGTGCTCCAAGCCAACACTGCTCTGACTCTTGGAGTCCAAATCAACCTTTGCTGGTAAAACCTCTACATAGATTTTTAAACACTGGCACATAAAAACATTCTAGTTTATCTGCCATTCATGGATTCATTCTTTATTACTGCTAAGTTTCTTCTCTCCACTCCTTCCCTCTAGCTCCAAAATTCTTCTAACTTTGAATGGCCTCAGAAATCCCATTCTCAGGTGCATCTTTATATTTGAAAGCCAACAATACATACTGTTCTTCTGGTAGGGAATAAATATCTGAAGGGTTGACAATTTAGAGCATGTGGCCTTCCAGATTCAGAATGGAGTTTTATGTTGTTTTAGGCCCAATAGATTTATACTTGGAAGAAGAAAAGAGGTGCATCTCATTTTCTTTCAAGGTAGCTAGAACACAGTCCTTACCTTTCTCTGGTCTTCCTTTGCTTTGTACCCATAGGCAATGAAGTATCACCTAGTCAGTGGTGTCCATCTCTAATTGCTTTGGCTCTTTTCCCCTTCTTTTAACATTTGATGACTTATATTTTACCTCTTTCAGATGAAAGACTTTCGAAGTAAAATGCAATCAATATTTCCAGCAATTCCCAAGAACTCTGAATCGGCTGTTGAGTGGGAGGAAGCACTGAAATCCAAATGAGATGAGCATGCTGGATGAAGTCCATAGTGATTGTTACAGAGAGAGCGGCTTTGGAGACAAGCTGTAACAGCGAAGGGACTCAATTGATGTCTCCTCAGGAACACGTGCAGATTGTTGAGTGAACCTAAGGGATGGATGGTGTTCAGTGTCCTCATAGGAGGCCGACAGCCTTTCTTTAAAATTGATGTGGGTGTGTGTGGGTGTGTGTGTGTTGTGGGGAGGGTAAAGTTTTCCCAAAGTTAGGAAGACTATTTAAAAACAATTACACAGATAACTTTTCTATGTGGAGGAGATCCCAGGGGAAGTACTTCTATTTATGGCTGTAATGGTTGAAACCAAGTTTTGTACCTGAAAAAAATTTAACATATGATGGAAACTCTTTATAATTAGACTCCTTACAGCAGTAGTACCTCAATGTGTCTAGTAAAATAAGTTTCAGCAGCCTTTCTTGTCAGTATGTGACTTTCGGAACTTGGAAGACTTGCTCCTGTTAGCCAGACTCCAACGTGACAGGTTAATAGGTAAATCCTGTCCATCGGGCAGTGGTGTGGCTCTGTGGTCCTGAATGCAGTCTTTGATTCACACGTGCCAGTTATTTACCTGATGACCTCACCTCAAGGCCCTGTAAATGCTTATACTTAGACAAGAAGCCGGTAACAGATTATGATAACTTGAAAAGGTACAGTTGTAATAATAATGATATCATGGATATAAAATGTACTTTTTTTTTTTTTGTGAGGAAGATCAGCCCTGAGCTAACATCCATGCTAATCCTCCTGTTTTTGCTGAGGAAGACCGGCTCTGAGCTAACATCTATTGCCAATCCTCCTCCTTTTTTTTTTCCCCAAAGCCCCAGTAGATAGTTGTATGTCATAGCTGCACATGCTTCTAGTTGCTGTATGTGGGACGCGGCCTCAGCATGGCCGGAGAAGCGGTGCGTGGGTGCGCGCCCGGGATCCGAACCCGGGCCGCCAGTAGCAGAGCACGTGCACTTAACCGCTAAGCTACGGGACCGGCCCTAAAATGTACTTTTTTGAGAAATTGGTTTTGGGTCCCTAAACATTGACTGACAGTTTGTAGTTTTGTTTCAGTTGTCAATGTAAAAACAGCCCAGTTGTCACATATGTTAAATATTTTAACCAGAAGGTTACCTGAGTATTGAGTCTCAATGTTAAGTATTTAGTACTGCCTCCCTGGTGAAACTGCTGCTGGTAAATTCTTATATACACACCCAACCCTTTCCTGTCCTCCATGATCTCTTACAGAAAACAGAACAATATTTTCATGCAATTATTTTTACTGGAGATTAAAATTTTTAAAGAAAACTACTTTAATATGTCAATATGTCCAGAAAAATAACCTCTGGTTGAATATCAGTTGTGCAATTTCTTTATAATTACTTAGTCTCTAATTAGCAATCAGGTTTAATAAAGTACATTTGAAATTTATCTGTTATAATGAAACCTTTTAGTTCTAAGGAAGATTTCTAAATGAAATGTCAAGTGCATAATGTAACATTTTTCTCTGGACCATGTTACCCTGTTAAATTGCTGTATTGTTAATTAATTAAACAGGTGTAATCAGTATCTGGGATTCATATGTAACCTGTTAAAAATCCAAGACTAAAAAGGGAAAGGATTGTGAAATTTCTCAGGGTATGTGGAGTAGCAAAAACTCTTCACTCATCTTTCATTTTTAACTAAATCTCTGCTGAGAAAAGATTTCCAGCCTTTGAATGAAATGAAGGAAGGAGAGGCAGGAGCCCAACTGAACAGGTTGCTGTCCCTATTATTAGTCGGAGTCTAGGGGTGCGGGGGTGCGCTCTGTTCCCACAGGGCCTGGCACGTGGGAGGCCTGAGGGAAGGAATGTTTGAATCCTTGTTTATGTGGCATGCATAATGTTTACAACACCCTTTCCATGTTGGTCTGTTGTCCTTGAGGGATGGCAGGGGACTCCCATAAGAATGACCGTGCATCACCTGCTGAGAGAAGGTTGATGGGGACAGGTTCCTACAATAGGTACCAAGCATAGGCTCCGGTTGCATTTGAAAAGCAAAAATGAAGTAACAAAGATGAAAGTTAAAAGGAAAACAAGCAATATGACTAAAGTATTTTTCTACAGTCGGAACTCAGATATCAGAAGATTTAGTCTTTGTCTATTCCTTTTATACCAGAGGCATATTGTTAAATTGGTTAATGGAAAGGAAAAATGTTTAACAGATAATGTTATTCTTTATGTGAAGTACCATCTGTGTATTGAGTTCTGAACGTTCTTGGATGTGGAAGAGAGGAAATGTTATGGAATTTCAAGTTTGCCTTCTTTGCTATCTTTATCTTGGGTAGAGTAAGACAACATAATCACATTTATCTCCTGGAGCATAAAGAGTTTTAATCACCCTATTAACCAGGATGACATTTTTCACAGACTTAAAAAGGAATAGAACAGACATTATCTCCCCATAAGCAATCCATTTCATGGAGACTGAGCACTGGAAATTCTTAAAGGATGGATAACACAAGGCATTTCCATTTCACGTGTGAGCCAACATTAAGACGGCTTTCCGTAAGAACGTGGCTGAGACTGGTTGAGTGTTGAGCTTTGCGTTTAGAATCTCAGTGCCCAAAAGAGCTATCAGAGAAAGCAATACAGAGAAGACCTGGTGGGCAGGGAGGGGCGGCTCCCAAGGCCTCGGGATTCATGCAAGGAAAAAAACACACATATTCTGGTAAGTTATTGCTGTCCTGTGAAAATGTATCCATGGGCTGCTGTTATTTTCAGAGTCGAGAAAATATCCTTCCTGAACAACCTGAGAATGAAAAGTAGGCCATGAGAACTGCCTCACAAGATACCTAGCAGCCTATCTCTACGCAAAACATGGATTCTAATGATATGGAGAGCGAGCAGCCGCCAAGGCCCAGCAGAGCTGAAGCGTGACCATGGGTGACCCTCACGCTGTCGCATTGACACAGACTCACAATGGAAAAAACTTTTCTTAACCAGCTCAGTCAAAAGGTGGCACCTGATCACCTCTCCTGTCATACATTCTGCTTAGTTTTGTGGATAGTATGGGACTCAACTTGCAAATTAATCATTGCAACCTAAGGGGAAAATATAAGAAATTAAGAAAAAAAAGCCCCTGGGGACAAAAGTAATTAAAATCCACTGAATTTAGCTGTTTCACTTGGGGCAAAATTTAATCTCTCCTAGGTTTGGTTCATGGAGAATGCTGTATATTTTTACCTCATTTTCATGTATCTTTAAAAGTAAATAGTTAAGTACAAATGAAAATCAACGAGATAAAATAGAATTATTTCTCCAAAAAGTTAAATTTCTCATGAAAGGGAGTAAAATACACATTTTTATAGTATTTTATCATGACAAGTGAGATGTTTTTCCTTTCTGCCAAGAGTCATTGAATAATCTGTCAAATATTTGGGTCTCTGTATTAGTGTTATCAGGACTAATTATCAAAGGCTGTGCTTCTGTGAGTCTAGAATAGGAAAGTAAGCATCTCTTGCAAGCAGTGACATTAATCTCTAATAATGAGTGAGGCTTTTGGCAAATTCTGTCTGATGGCAGACAACTCAGTTTTGGAGAAAATTAGAATAGCAGTTACCAAGAAGCACATAGAGTTCGACTTTTCTGCCCAGTATTAGTGGAGTGAGTTAGGACCTTAATTTATATTTTTTACATAAGCTGGGTCAGGCCCTTTGTCTCAGGCCCTTGATGAGGCATGATCACTAAGAAAAAAAAAACAATAGTAAAAAACGGGCAAGAAAGCCTATAAATGTTCTTAATGACAGAAAGGTGAAGGCCACGCTTAATGGACTCTCCTAAGACGCTAAATCAGGCAAACTGAGGAAGTTTGGCACATTTATAGAACACCTAGTACCTGCTCATCTGAAAATGCTCCAAAAATTCATCTTCATGCTGCCCCTGCCACCCTGGGCTTGGAGTGGGGCCCAGGTCTGCAGCCGGACGGACAGCACTCTATGTGCAGGTGGCTGCCTGGCATGCAGGGCTCCAGCTGCAGATCTGGGTCTCCAGCATGCCTGGGCCCCCAGCATGCCTGGGCCCGCTGTCTGAAGGGAACAAGTTGACAGCACTGAGTATAAAAAAAAGCTTGGACTTGACAGTCATTACCAAGTTCTGCCGAACTCTGCAGAGTCCCTTTGCTCTGCCAACCTGGGTGGGGAGAATGTGTTTATTGTATTTTATTGTTGTCTTCAACTGCCCCTGTTGTAGGGGATGAATCCCTCTGTCTCCTACTCTGAGTGAAGCCCAGACAGTAGACATCCTCGTCTGGAATCCTTGGGCGGTTACCAACGGTGGAGCATTGCTGCCGACGGCTTGCCTGTGTCCTTCCAATCTCCCTTCAGTCCCCAGTGGCCGCGGCTACTCAGCAATCCTTCAACTGGGGTAGAGGTTACCCAGCTAAGATGATTCTAGTGTAGTAAATCTCACCAAAGCTAAAATAAGACCTCTTGTCAAAAGTCATGAATGACTGAGGAAACTCTTTGCTCTGAGCTTGCTCGTGGACTAGCCCTGAGGCTCTTTTCATAGACTTGATTACAAATGATTGTAGTAAATTACCTGCGGAAACAGCACATTATCAAGTCTACCAGCTCACTATTTAAGAGGGAGACTCTCTTCTGCAACATAGTGAGGACGCAGTGGAGGACGCATGGAGGTGGGATTGCTGTACCTTATCCAGAGTTGGAGGAGGATGGCCCTTCAACCTGCAAGGTGGGGCTCCGGCTCAACAAATCAACTTGCATCCTGGTTTTCCCTGTCTTTTCAAATATCTCTCCGGAACAAAGATAGTCCCGTGGGAATTGTCCTAACTTGACGTCTCTGACAAGCCTACTAATAATGAGCTGGGGGTGGAATCTGTATTCTTCACAGAAGTATGTTAACTTTAACTTCTCAATGTTGCAAATATTACTCAAGGAACAGGGAGTGAAGGGCTGGGTTAAAAACACAGGGTCAGGTGAGACCTTAGAGAAACGCCCACATCCCTGACAGAAGTGGGCATTCGTCTTTGCATAGTTTCTTCAGGTTCAGGACCAAGCCCATAATAAGCCCTTAGTAAATACAGGAAGGAAGGGAGGGAGGGAGGGAAGAAGGAAAAGGAGGGAGGTAGGGAGGGAAAGGGAAGACAGAAGGAAGCAAAGAGGGGAGGGAGGAGGAAGATGGGTGGAGGGCAGAGGGAGGACCAGAGAGGGAGGGAGAGAAGAAAGGGGAGGGAGAGACCGCCTCATTGAGAAGAGGGTCCACGTGCCCAAGACCACACAGCCAGCTCCTGGTGAAACTGATACTCGCCTTGTCACCTGTGTTGGCCACATTGACCTCAGCCACCAAAACTCAAGGAGATAAAAATCACATCAGAATAATGAAAAATCAGTTTCTGAGGTGGGTTCTGGGCAGGGGTTTCTGACTCCC